TGGCTGGCGCCTTAGCTGATTGAGCTATAGGCGCCGAGCCAAGGGCACTGGTTTTGCGACAGCTTCTGTTCTGAGTTTTCTGACCCCGTGGCCCCTTCTCTATTCCACCCAGGAGTCAAAAATAGTCAGAAAGCAGGACTCAGGGAATTATTGCGTGATGTCTAGGTTTGGCTCTTGTGCCTATCACGCCAGGAACTCTAATCCCCCTGCCACTCCAAGCCTCTGCACACCCTATGCCACTCACCTGATTTGGGTAACTGTCCCAGCACATTGTTACTGTCCACAACCATGACTCCTGCAGGGAAACAGGTGACTCAGGCTGTGCAAAGGTTAGAATCCAGCCTTCCACCCCGGTCCGGGGCCTCTCTGAGGCTCTCCTGGCCTCACAGGTACTGCTTTCACTCAGCCCTGCTTTTTCCTGCCTGGTTATATCTCTGCCTTTGACTCTTGACTGGGGGCTCACTCACTGCAGAGCCCCCAGCTCCTGGTGGCAGTAGGTCCTCATGGGGTCCCTTGCCAAGCTTTCTCCCTTCTCTCCCTTTTCGTTATACCCTCTTCACACACACACCCTGCCCCCACTCAGATCCAGGCCTGGAGTCTGGGAGGTGCTTGTGGGACAAGTGGACAGGACAGGTGAGCAGTCAGGTATACTCACGTGGTAGAGGACTGAGAAGCCACCAGCAAAGGAGCATAGATAGAAGACAAACCTCCAGCTGCAGGTGGGGAGGAAGCCCATGAGAAGCCATCAAAAGGCACCATTTGCCCTGCTGCCCCGCACCCTAGGGTCACCCCCTCTGGGCCCACCCTGGTCCTACCTGGCCTCACAGAACTTCTTGGTTAGGTAGGGCCGATCCTGGTTCCTGCGTCTCCGGAACCAGCGCTGGGTCTGCCGTAGTGTGAGGCCACATTGGGTGGCCAGGAGAGCCAGCTGGGGCTAGGGAGAGGTGATGGTAGCTAGGGTCACTGAGGCCATGGTGGCTTCCCATACCTTTCTCCAGACAGGACTCACTTATGCTATCCCCTCCTCTGCAGCCCCAGGTCTTGCCTATTGGGCAGCCATGTCTACTACAGAGGGGATCTGGTAGGGGGTATCACGGGGAGGGCCCCCCTATAATACTTGGACCTTATGAGAACTAACCCTGTTCACAGGGCAGGCAGGTCACGGATGGGGACTAGGCTTAAGAAAGACACTGGGGGGCCAAGTGCAGTGGCTCACACCTGTAATCCTAGCACTCTGGGAAGCTGAGGTGGGTGGATTGCTTGAGCTCAGGAGTTCAAGACCAGCCTGAGGAAGAGACAGACCCTGTCTCTACTAAAAATAGAAAAACTGAGGCAAGAGGATCACTCGAGCCCAGGAGTTTGAGGTTACTGTGAGCCATGATGCCATGGTTGTCTACACAGGGCAACAGAGTAAGACTCTGCCTCAAAAAAAAAAAAAAGAAAGAAAAGTAAGACACTAGGGTGCAAGCCCTCCCCCCCAAGACTTTCCTATACCCCTCAAGAAGAGTCAGGTCTCAACCCAACGTCCCCACCCCCTTTGAGGGAGTTGCAGGGAGGGGGAAGGGACTCTGCTCTGTAGAACCTGCCCTGTGCCCCCTGGGTATGGAATCTTCAACATCTCCACCTCCACCAGGAATCAGCCTGGTACTGGTACAGCCCAGACCCTGCCCACCCTGTAGCTTCGCCATGGATGGGAATGGAGGGAAGGCCATAGGGCTGCCAGTCACCTTCCCCACTCCCCACCCCTTACCAGTCGGACCTTCCATTCCTCCCATGGACAGGAGAGGAACTGCTCCTCCTACTGCAGCCCCAGAATCTGTACACTGGGCAGCTGTGTCTGCTGATGCCTGGGGTGGAGGTGAGGATGAGGGGGGCAGGGCCTTACCTCTCAGCGGGGCTGGGAGGATCATGCAGAAGGCCCATCTTTGGGGGAAGCTGGGACTCAGGTAGAGTGGAGAATGGGGGTCACTATGGGGGGACCATGGGCTACCTTCACTTCCCCTGCGCCAATCAGTAGACCATCCACTACCCCCAGGTCCTTCCCCAGAGCAGCCCTGTTGGGCCATAGGGGTGGGGACGGGGGCGCTTACCTCCTTGGGGCTCTGTCCTTTCTTCAGGAAATATCTCTCCAGTGTGGAGTTTGGCTTCACCGGCCTCCTGGTCTTATCCCGCACACCCAAAAACTGGCTCAGAGGCAGGCCAACAAACCTGGAGCAAGGGAGACAGAGCCCATCAGCATAGGGAGGGAGGGACAGGACTGTGTGTACAGGGGAAGGAACAGGACCATGTTTGTATGGGACCTTTTATTTATTTATTTATTTATTTATTTATTTTTAAGACAGAGCCTCAAGCTGTCGCTCTGGGTAGAGAGTGCTGTGGAATCATAGCTCACAGCAACCTCCAACTCCTGGGTTTAAGTGATTCTCTTGCCTCAGCCTCCCAAGTAGCTGGGACTACAGGTACCACCACAATGCCCAGCTATTTTTTGGTTGTAGTTGTCACTGTTGTTTGGCAGGCTCCGGCTGGGTTCAAATCTGCCAGCTCTGGTGTACGTGGCTGGTGCCTTAGCCGCTTGAGCAATAGGCACCGGGCTGGAACCTTTTATTTTTTAATTTTTTTTTTGAGACAGGGTATCACTATGACACCCTCAGTAAAATGCTGTGGTGTCACAGCTCACAGCAACCTCAAACTCTTGGGCTTAAGTGATTCTCTTGCCTCAGCTTCCCAAGTAGCTGGGACTACAGGTGCCTGCCACAACATTGGCTATTTTTTTGTTGCAGTTGTAATTGTTGTTTAGAATGGGGGTCACATAGGTGTATGTGGCTGGCACCCTACCCACTGAGTTATGGGCGCCACCGTATGGGACCCTTTGTAGTTGGGGTGACTGAATCTTGGAAAGGTAAGTTACAGGCCAAGGAACACAGCCTACACAAGGCAGGGCATGTGAGACTTGGCATCTTTCTTCTCCAACTGAGTAGAGGGTTTGAAAGTCCAGAGGCAAAAAGGCTCAATGGGTAGGATCCAGAATTTTCCATTGCTATTCCTGGCCTTACACCCTGGTACCCTGGAGGATAGTGTGGCAGTTGCATAGGTACCAGACAGAAACACAGCTGGACCTGTGTTCAGGGTGTGAGTGTGCAGGCGCAGAAGGGCCGGAGAGGTGGGGCCTCACCTGAGGGTAGAAGGGATGGGGCATCACCATAGGGGTAGGGCAGGAGGGGTGAGGCCTCATTTCTCAGGGGGCTGGTAGGGGTGGAGCCTCACCTCCCAAAGAGTGGATGGGAAAAGGGGGAGTGGCCTCATCTCCTAGACACCTGGACCTGGAGATGTGCAGGCCAACTTGTAGGGTACCCAGGCACTTTCACCCAATTCCAAATCAGGTATGAGTGTCCCCTCACCACCTGTCTGACAGTGACCTTGGTCCTGGTCTGTACCCTACCAGGCTGAGAGCTTTCCATGGGTAGGGGGTAGGGTCTACTCCCTCTCAGGCCCCCCTCACCTCACTCCAGGGTACAGACTTAGAGGTGCAGGGACCCTGGTCTATCACCACGTTGGCCACAACAGTGTCCTCCAAGTCCACAGAAGGGGACCGAATTTCGTATCAACTGTGACTGGGTGGCAAGACCCAGAATCTGAAATTAGGATCCACCGTGGATTTTTTGGGTTTTTTTGAGACAGAGTCTCACTATGCCGCCCTCAGTAGAGTGCTATGGCATCACAGCTCACAGCAACCTCAAACTCTTGGGCTTACCGATTCTCTGGCCTCAGCCTCTCAGGCACCCACTACAATGCCCAGCTACCTCTGTGGGGTTTTTATATATGGATATGTCTTGTTTTGTTGCCCAGTCTAGAGTACCATGGTGTCATCACAGCTTACTATAGCCTCAAACTCCTAGGCTTATACCATCCTCTAGCCTCAGCCACCAAAGTGGAGCCCACTACACTCAACTAAATTTTCTAATTTTAGTAGACACAGAGTCTCACCATTGCTTAGACTAGTCTCAAAATCCTGACCTCAAGTGATACTCTTGTCTCTGCCTTCCAGAATGCTAGGATTGCAGGCACAATCCACCACGCCCAGCCTGAATTCCCTTTTTGAAAAAACAAAACCTCTACATATGTAAGGGAGAAAGGCTTTGCCTGCCCCACTACCTCACCATGGCAATAGAGTGGGAGGAATGGGGCTTCATTTCTCTGGGGGCTGGAAAGGGCAGGATCTCACCTTCCTGGGAGTGGCTGGGTGGGTAGGCTCAACCCCTAGGAGTCTGGGATAGGCAGGTCCTCATTTCTCAGCAGGGAGGGCCCAGGATGCCTTTGGAATCTGATAACTGTAAGGATGGTTGGTCTTTATGGTGAAATGATAAAGAAATTATCATTATTGGGCGGCGCCTGTGGCTCAGTGGGTAGGGCGCCAGCCCCATATACTGAGGGTGGTGGGTTCAAGCCCCCAGCCCCAGACAAACTGCAACAAAAAAATAGCTGGGCGTTGTGGCGGGTGCCTGTAGTCCCAGCTACTCGGGAGGCTGAGGCAAGAGAAGCAACTAAGCCCAAGAACTGGAGGTTGCTGTGAGCTGTGATGCCACGGCCCTCTACGGAGG